GTTTAGCGTGCAGCAGTTCAGTAACATGTACAAAACATGCTCACAGTAGCTTCATTCTATCATATTAATGCTTTTATACACTGTTGTACCTCTATAGTAGTTATGCTTTATATGCTCTAAAGTTGAGTTTATTTATGCATACGATTTTATTAATAATTTGCTGTAGTGTATGATAGAGCCCGACCGATATGGATTTTTCTGTGGCCGATATGAAACTGATATAATGGGAGTTGGAGCTGCCGATAGCCGATATAATCGCCGATATATTTAGTGATGTAAAAATTCATTGTAAGTGTTGAATTGTTTAAAAAACTTAGATTTGGCTCTGGTGGATTTTAAATTGGGTTTATTTAGGCAACATTTATTGTTATTCTGCCTCTTTACATCATATTTACAGACAGTAGGTTGGTTTAATGGCATTTTTGCATCACATTCTAGACACTCGTGATGGGTATTCCAGTTCTTTTTAGAGAACCGGCTCTTTTGGCTCGGCTCACTAAAAGCTGCTGGTTCTTTAGGCTCCCAAGCGGCTCTTCAGATTGTTTTGTTGCAAGCAGGTCTAAAGCACGTCTAAAGCAGGACTGAATCAGGACTGAACCAGGTCTGAACCAGGACTGAAAAAGGACTAAACCGGGACTTATTTATTTTATGCTAAACTACAGCCAAATATGCTCCTTTTTTTATCCTACGTACACGCAAATTTCTCAAAGTTTCGTTTTCAGCCGCTGCCGCTGTCAAACCACGAGTCTGCACGTGGCAAAGAGAAAAAAAGTGAGAGAAAGAGAAAACACGGCTCCCAATAAGGATCAGGCCCCCGTCGTTCGCTTCAAAGAGTCGGCTCTAGGAGTCATTTCGTTCGCGACCGACCCATAACTAGTAAAGACACAATCGCTATTAGCCTTTAGCCGTAAATACGTGCGCGGCGCGGTAATTAATTATATGCGCAAATGTCATAATTCACACCTCTATTCACAGCTCATTTACATATCAACGCAGGTCCAGTAACAAATATACGGCCAATATAGTCACTTTACAATATGCCAATAGAAAACAGCCTGTTTATGTGCCAGAGCTACAGCAGCTAATCCATAACAAATGACCAAAACTAGCTTCAAAGTCGACATATTTCCAACACTCACCGCTCACACAGGCTCCTCCTCACATCACAAATCTGCACTAATAAATGTCCTTTTAATCCAGACTCAAACCGATTGTCCGTAAAAAGAATATAATCTCAGTGTTGCGCACCGCTGCGGGTGTAAACAAATGCACGTGAGTGACGCGACTCTGTGGTGTGTTCAGGGACAGTATGGACACACTCAGACAAATGACTCCGTAGATAAATACTGATGCGGAGCCACATTTTAGGACATTTATCTGTCTGTAAATTGGATTAAATGAACATAATGTAGAGAGTCTAAGATTTTTAACGATGTATCACATGCCCACGTGAAATATCGGCCCCTATCAGCAAGCATATCGGCTATCGGCCGATATGCGTCCAGGTGCCCATTTCAGCCGATAATATCGGCCAACTGATATATCGGTCGGGCTCTAGTGTATGACTTGTACAACAGTTTTGGAAAGTGAAGCAAGTAACCGCAGTAACCGCATCTTGCATTTTAATGAGGCGCCATGCACACGCCCGGCTTCGGTGTATTATTCTACTATGAACCAGTTCATGTTTATGTGGCTGTGAGCAAATGGGTTCAAATATTGGGATCAGGGGCAAACTTGTGCGCATTAAAACGAATGTGTGGCGCGCCACTGCAGCTGACCGCAGTATTTGCGGGGGCGCGCCTTGCGAACACGTGCTTTTGTGTGCAAAACGAATCACGCTTTGTTTTGCTATTTATACTCATGTGCACTGTTTAGGACATGTTTGAAATGGCCCACGCACTCACAGGACATACTGCACATAGAAGCTTTTAGTAGTTTGGGACTAAAGCACCGGGATCATGGAGCGAGGAGCACCTGGCGCAGCCTGTACGAGCTGATCCGTCCAGGTAAGGAGGTTTGTCTTTGCGCTGTGTTCGCCTGTATGATTCGTTACCTGTCACATTCACGCTGGAGCATCGTTTGTGTAGCGCAAGTGCGTAGCTATAAAACTATTTATAACGTGCCTGCTCCGTGCACACAGGACAACAGTGCACCTTTACTCGTCTCTCGCTTTTTCATTTCCCATTAAGTTAGCGAGTTACGGGTCGCAGGTCGCATCACTACCTTCTGTTAGAAAGAACAAGTTTGGTGAAAAGTTTGGTCAATAATCACTGTGGCACTCCTCCACGCCTAACTTGAGACGGCGTACCTCTGCAGGCGCCTCTGTGGGGTTTACCGTAGGTGTAAGGGCGGCCGTCACTCATTGAAGAATCATAATATATTCTCGTAACTCATCTTTAAAAATAACATGACACGTGTCTGTCACCTGATGATTTTACATCGATATTTTTCGATTACATGTATTATTATGGGCTTTTGTGCTATACCGCACACACCGCAGTGTAGAGGCAAGTAAAGTTACTGCAAGGGACATTCTTGAACCACGACAGCCCAAGCACTTAATATGCTATTTTTTTACACTTATACATTTGCCTTTTAGCATAGTGGTAAGGGAACTGCTGCAAGCATTAACATTAACCACATTGTACAAAAATTACATGAGGTGGTCAATAAAATACCGGTAGCTTACTCTAGTATGTCTAACTTTGCATTTACATGATCTAATTTTAGGATTTTAATCAGTATTACCTTACAACCACCGTGACGACTTGCCAACAAATGTTCCAATGATCCGTATAGAGGAGGACAAAATGGCTGCCGCAGATCTTCTGTAAAAGTTGTTTTCCCGGTCAAAACAAGGGAGGGAGTTGTCATCAAAAATGGGCGGAGCTTTACTATAAAGTCTAACTTTTTCATGCATTGCTCTCTTGACTAAAACATGCAGGTTTCACATTGAGGCAATTTATACTACGGTTTTAAGATTAAGTCATGTTTAAAGAAGAAGTTTAATAAAAATATGAAATGGGAGCATAATTTATATTTACAAAATGAACAACCCCGATCTCACGTTTTTTCAGTGAACATAGGGGTCAAAAAATCGGGTCACTTCAAGCTGCAGTCTGAATGTAGCTTTAGTGTCGTATGAACCATCTGCACTCTGAGGAGTCAGAGTTTCAGGTTCATGCAGGTAAAACCTGGAACAGTCTGAACATGTGAGACAGACTCTACTCTGACTCTGTTTAAATATAGACTCAAAACGGTTCTGTTTAGCTGCATATGACTGAAAGGTTTTCATTCTGCACTCTAATACAAGTAAGTTTTCTTCTTCCCACTCCTTTTTGGGCAAATAATAATAATAATAATCATAATCGTAATCATAAATCATAATCATAATGTGTTGTTATTTTCATTTCTATTATGATTTCACTCTGATGTTTCTCTCTTTTTAATCTTAATCTTTAATTTTATGATGATTATTTATGTTTTGATTAGTTTTTATTGTGGTTTTAATGTATTTCTTATTCTTTAAAACACTTTGAATTACTTTATGTATGAATTGTGCTGTACAAATAAAATTGACTTGCCTGTGTAAAGCCGGAAGCGCCCGCATCTTACGCTGCTCTGTAAAAACAGTGTCTCTTAAACTGTAACCTGACCCACCCTTCAGTTTCTCTGGGTTCAGTCAGTCAGGAATACTTAGCTGGAGTTTGGGATTTGAACCTGGGACCTTGTCACTGTGAGTCACTCGCCCCGTACTCTCCTGTCATGCAACAGTAAATAATGTACAGGAAATGCTGAGGATAAAGAGTCACCCCCTAGTTCAGTCCTGGTTTAGTCCTTATTTCTTTTCTTTTTTTTTATATAACTTTGTTTTTTATTGGTTTTAAGTAACATTTCAAAACATACAAAAACAATATAAAATCAAAAACAATGTAACAACAGTCTGAAGTTACAGGTTCTCATTTAAACATGCATTTGGTATTGACATTTTTATGTACTATGTTGTTTTACTGGTGTAATTTATGAATACATTCCACTTTTCCCATTGCTCATTGTATTTATGGGTCTGGTCAAGCGGTAACAGAGGGAAACAGGGGCAGATTTTTTACATTCAAATAGCGTGAAACGAATAATGATAAAACAATAAATTAGTTTTACTTACATTTCCAACTTCTCCGTTCCTTTACTTTTCACATTGTAGTTCTTCTTCTTCACTTGCCGCTTGATCGGTCCGTTGGAAAATAAAGTCCTGCGGTCACTTCCTTTGTGGCTTTTTGATGTGTTGTGGCTTTTTATTGTGTTGTGGCTTTTTGATGTGTTGTGGCTTTTTAATGCGTTGTGGCTTTTTAATGTGTGGCGGCATTTGCATTTGTGTTGTGGCATTTGTATTTGTTGCAGCATTTGCCCTAAAATAGAGTCCCGCGGTCATTTCCGTTGTGGCTTTTTTTGGTTTGTTGTGGCTTTTTGTTATGTTGTCGCATTTGTATTTGTTGCGGCATTTGCATTTGTTGTGACCCCCCTCGGCTTCCATAAATCTCTCACTTGCAAATATCTATAAAAGTCTTTATCTTCTAAATCAAATTTCTCCTTTAGTTGTTGAAAACTCATTAGCTTTCCATTTTTCAAAAAAGTACAGACTGCGTTTGTCCCTTTTAATTCCCATTGTTTGAATGATTGGTCAAGTTGCCCTGGTTTAAATTTTTGATCATACCTAAACCATCTCGGTTTAGTCCTTATTTCTCATTAGTGTTGTTTTAGTTTTCAGTCTTGGTTTAATCCCTGTTTAGTCCTGGTTTAGTCTTGGTTGAACCTGCTATGTTGCAATATAAAAATACATTTAAACAGCAGATTCGTTTGCACATTTCTTTCATAGTAAATGTATATGTCATAGTATTTTTCCCATGTTTTCAATTCAAGTGTGACCTATGGGGATTTCCATGACGACGCTCCTGTTGCTTCACTTCCTGTGAGTTTAGACATGATTCTGTTTGGTAATAACCTCACACACACGAGTTTGAACAAGACTCAAGACTGTGGACTGAAGAGCAGAGAGGAGAGGAACACAAACGAGAGAAAACAGAAGACACAGAGAGGAGAGAAAGACAGAGGAGACAAGGAATAATCTGTAAACGAAAAGAGGAAAAGCACAAACCTGCAGCTGTCATGGAAAAGTCTGACCACAGGTATGTTACGGGTTTAAAGCCTCATCATGTAACGTTTTTGTGTGAATGTTGCGTAGTGTCACTTTAAACTTTAACTTAACAAAAATTATACTGAGCTTTTTTTGTTCTAATGCTGTTACCACCTCAAAAACTTACCTGGAGTTGTGTTTTGTTTCATTCAAGTTTTCAGTTCCTTTATGTTTAGTTCAGTAGAGGTTGGCAATTCCAGGGCTGAAATCATCCAAATGATTCTAGCCCTTATATTGTGTTAGAAAACTACATGTGTCTTTAGTGTTACAATTTCCAATTTGACCTGTGATTTAACTCAGCCTGAAAATACTTAAAAACACTAGTTATCATCCAGTATTGTTTTTCACCTCATAACTAACTTAGTATGTATGTATTTATATTCATGGAAACACTTTTAATTTTTATTTTTTATTTTTGGCTCCACAGACCTTTTATCTTAAAATATACCGCTCGTTTTTGATTACAAAAACTTTTTAAATTCACTAATTATATTTCCTAGAGTGATAAAATGAGTAATTATATTATATAATTATACTTTATATATCATAATTATATATAATACATATAATATAAATATAATTTATATAAGTATAATTATATTGGGTGTCAAGAGGGCTTGATGACCATGAAATGTCACCTTTTCTTGACTTGAAGACGTCTCTTTCAGCCTTTGTGACATCTGGGTTCTCCTCATCAGATGTATGCTCTTGTTCAGGGTCATAATGAACCTCATCCTCATCTATAGACCACATATATATATGAATGGACATAACTAACACTGTAGCCGCCGCGTTCCAAATAGGAAGTTCTCCAGAAGGTTCCTTCTGACTCTGCCTTCAACTGACTTCTTGTCGTCCCTCTCTCTGTAACTGCTGCTGTGAGCCTCATCATTTTGGTCTGAAAACATTCGTATTAACACATGATCCTGATTTTTTTATTCCCTATTTTGTCCATCAAAAAAATCTTATTCATAACATAGAACCTGGCTCTAGATTTGCTCCTGTAACTCGTGAGCATTGTGAGCCTCATTTGAGCGGCACTGAACGCTGTGGGTGACGTCACACTCACTTAGTCCACTTCTTTTCTTCAGTCTATGTCCTCATCCTCATCCTCAGACACATCTTCCTCAGCTTCACTTTCCTCTCTCTGTGTTCAGAATCACTGTCATGACCAAAGATCTGATCCAGCACCTTATAAACAGTAAACCTGCTCATGTTGACTGATGCTGTAACAGAATGCAACTGATTATATCTCACTGTGTGTGTGTGTGTATGTGTATATGTGTGTGTGTATATGTGTCACATTGAGCCATATTTGATCCACAGAGCAGCCCACAGCTTGTAAGTGATGCATAAAACAGCCCCTATTCTCTCCCAGGTAATATTTGACCCGTAACACCGCAAATGTCACTTTTTTTTTTTTTTTTTGTTGAGCCATTTAGAATTTACTAAAATGGTGAAAATTAAAATAGTTGTATCTGAGGATTAGATGAAGCCTCGTTCCAGTACAAAAAAGCAAATGGTTTTTACATACCTAAACTTGAAAATGGGTCAGCTTTGACCCGAACACAATATAAGAGAAGAGAAGGTGTGTGGACTTTGAAAACACAGTGGAGCACTTCCGGTATTACCACATAACATCACAAGGTGGAAGATTTTGTGTTTTGGGTCAACCTAAATGTGCAGGGTTTGTGTGTTAAACATGTGTGAACGAAACACAACACAACTCCAGGTCTGTTTGTGATGAGAAAACTACATTAGAACTTTTTTTTACTCTTGTTTCTCTTCAGGTTGTACAAATCTTTCGAGTTTAACTAAAGATTTTCTTGGAGGGAAACAACAAGAGATTATCTAAATTTTTTGACGCCCTGTTTCACACTGGGGCTTAGTTTTGGGCATCACGGTGGCTGACCATCACCACAAGATGGTTCTGGGTTCGATCCCCAGGTCGCCCAGGCCTTTCTGTGTGGAGTTTGCATGTTCTCCCTGTGTCTGAGCGGGTTTCCCCATCAACCCAAAACATGCACCATACGTTAAATCATCCAGCTGAGCTCCTGACCAAGTCTAACAACAAGATCATGGAGATAGGTCCTCATGTGCTGCCCAATGCTCCTGAAAGGATGAGTGAAATGCACAGAAGAATTTCCCTACAGGGATCATTAAAAAGTACTACTATTCCAGAAAAAAAAATAAAAATCCAATCCACTTTATTTCTATAGCACATTTCACAAACAAACAGTTTCCAAAGTACTGCACAAATACATAATAATAACAACAATAATAAAATTCTAAAATAAACTACTAAAATAATCATACTAGTCTTATAAAATAATAAAATAATAAAACCAGTAAAATAAAATAAGAGCAAAATCATAGAATAGAAACAAATAAACCAATACATACATTAAATCAATAAAACCAATAAAAACACATACAAAAAAAAAAAAAAAAAACACACACAGAAGAGCACACAACTCATGCAGTGTTGCAGTGTTAAAAGCCAGAGAATAAAAGTGGGTCTTAAGACGAGACTTAAAACTCTTGGGATGTGCAGGGGAGTGTTCCAGAGCTTAGGGCTGGTCACAGAGAAGCCCCCGTCCCCCCCCGGTTTTAAGTCTCGTCTTAGGCCCTACGAGCTGGAGCTAGACCTCGGACCTCAGAGCGTGCAGGGGTATAAATCTGGATGAGGTCCAAGACGTACTGTGGGGCCAGTCCATTCATTGATTCATATCAATAAAAAATATAAATAAATAATAATAAATAAAATATAATAATAATAATAATAATAATATGGGATTTCAGCCTATCCAAATGACAAAGTACACTGAAAAAATCTAAATCTAGTCAAGTTAAGATGACTTGAATTAAGAAAATGTTGTCATGATCTGAGTCAATTTCACTTGACAAATAAAATGATCCACCAGTTTTGTACTTAAAATATGGAAATATATCTTGCTACACTTATAAGAAAAACAACAACTTTTTGTACTTATAATAAGAAACTAAATTGTGTGTTGCTTGAATTAAGACAAACACACTTATTCCACTGGTAGATCATTTGATCAAGTTAAATCTATTCAAATAAAGTGAAATGTTCCCAGTCATTTTAACTTTACTGAATATTGTTTTTTCCAGTGTATATATGATGAGAAGCTTTAGAATAATATGAAAAATCAATAAGAGATGATTCAGATGACAGTTTTAAGACACGTTTAAAAAGGAGGTGTGATGCAAAGCTTTTACACCATGTTATCACAGTGTTTCCTCACCAGGAGGTTACACAAAGTTGTGTTGAGTGATTCCTGGATGTTTGAGTAAACCTGTATTTTCCTGTATTTGATATTAGATTGCTCAGGAAATTCCCATTTGCACCTACCCCCTATCCCCGCCCGCTACTCTAGATTTAAAACCTATATGAAGATATTTTCTGATGTGTTATTATGTTGTTTTCTCATCAAAAACAAGCTCATGTGTCTTGTTTTATTCACAAATGTTTAACACACAAACCCTGCAGATTTAGACAGAACAGAAAACACTCTGCTCCACCTTGTGATGTCATGTGGTGACACGGAAAGTGTTTTTAAACTCCATACACCTTCCCTAGAATTTTTTGGATTGTTTCAGCCCTGGAATTGAGAAACTCTACTGAAAAAAGGTAAAAAGAGCTGTTAAAATGAAAATGACCAAAGTGGAACAGAGCATTTAGAGCTTTGTAGATGCAGACAGACTAATAATAAAATGTTACTCAAACATGTGTGAATGAAACAAAACACAACTCCAGGTCTGTTTTTGAGAAGGAAACAGGATAATACATAACACAGATAAAAGCTCAGAGGCAATTTTGCATCATATGGATCTTTAATTTTTGTAAGATGAAGACACCAAGTGATACGTGTGGGGTTAAAAAATGTCACATCATAGTTGTACTTTTCAGAATCTGCATTTGTGAATCAAATTTACTGCTATAGCTGTGTTTCAGATGACATCAAAACATTCATTCATTCAGCTAAAATGAATATTCTTCAAATACAGATTTGTGTTGTAATGCAGCTTTTGTCCATGTATGAGGTAAAATGATAAAATATGTTTACTTTGTAATTCCAAATGAACTTAAACAGGCCAGTCAGAGTCAAGCAAATGTGGCCCTTGAGCCGTACAATACTCAGGTCTGCTCTAGTCCCTAATAGAACTCATCAGGTTCAAACATGGACTGTATAAAGAAGTGAACTGAGAGTGTGATGTTACCCAGTTCTTTTGGCTCCAGTCAAATGAAGCTCATCGAGGAAGAGCAGTTATAGGGGAGAATTTGGAGATGAGTTCAGTATTTGTAATTTCAAATAACGCTGCGCTCGCTGCGATCAGGTGCTTAGCACTTCTGTCAATCAAACCTTGGAAAAAAAGTGCACCTGATTGGTCTGTTATTAGTTCATATCTTGATTTATGGAGAGAATTGTGAAATAAAACCCCATGATCATGTAGAGCAGGTTAATACAAGCATTTTTAGGTCAGAATGATGAGGACAGTAGCATTTACACAGACAGGGGTGTTGTTTTTTTCAGTAGAAAGTCAATTGGAGCTGGAGCCGACAGAGCCAATGTCCACTTCCTATTTGGAACACAGCGTGGGGTGTGATGTCCATTTAGCTATGTCCATTTATATAACCGTCAATGGGATGAACATTTGTGAATTTACTTTTTGGATATTTTATGTACAGTACAATGTCATGATAACCAATTAGGAAATCTGCATATGCCCGCATGGGAGTATGACATCATCACATCCTAAAATCCAAGAAACACCCATTTGTCTATTAAAAACAGAAGTGTAATAATGTTTGGTGTGCTCCTGTCTGCCCCCTAGTGTCCATGGAGAGGCCGACTGGGGCCGAATCCTGCGCTACAACAATATGGTCCTGAACGGCCAAGGTACAGCCCACATCTGCTTTATCATTTCACATCAAATCAAGCACGTACTCAGATATTTGACAGCGTCTTCTCATTTAAATGTGATAATCATGTACTTTTTCATTCATGTGTTGATGTTTCTCGCGCACAGATGAATTCCCCTGTCCACTGGAATCTTCTAAACAAGAATTTGAGCAAATTGAGCCCGAGAGCCCTCCACCCTGCCCACAGTGGAGGTCAGTGAACTAGTACAAGTGTTAGTAGTAGTAGTTGTTGTTGTTGTAGAAATTGTAGTAGTAGCAGCGGAAATAGCAGTAGTATTGGTATAGTAGGAGAAGATGTAGCAGCACTAGTAGTAGTAGTATTAAGAGTAGTATTAGTAAGAATAATAGTAGAATTAGTAGTAGCAGAGGAGGAATACGTGTAGTAGGAGAAGCAGTAGCAGTAGAAGTAGCAGCAGCAGTAGCAGTAGCAGTAGTAGTAGTAGTAGTAGTAGCAGTAGTAGTAAGAATAGTAGAAGTAGTAAGAGTAACAGAATGGTAGTAGTAGTAAAAGTAGTAGTAGTAGCAGGAGGAGTTGTGAGTAGTAAGTGGAGTAGGGATAGTAGGTAGTAGAAGTAGTAAACAATAGTAGTAGGAAGAGTAGTAGTAGTAGTAGTAGTAGTAATAGGAGTAGCAGTAGTAATAGTAAGAATGGTAGTAGTAGAAGTAGTAATAGTAATAGTAGTAGGAGTAGTAGTAGCAGGAGGAGGAGTGAGTAATAAGTGGAGTAGGAGTAGTAGCAGCAGCAGTAGTAGGAGGAGGAGGAAGAGGAGGAGTAGCAGTAATAGGAGTATTAGCAGTAGTAGTAGCAGAAGTAGGAGTGATGGTGCTAGTAGCAGCAGTAGCAGTAGTAGTAGTAGGAGTAGGAGTAGGAGTGATGGTGCTAGTAGTAGTAGTAGCAATAGTATTAGGAGTAGTAGTAGCAGTAGTATTAGGAGTAGGAGTAGTAGTAGGAGTAGTAGCAGTAGTATGAGTGATGGTGCTAGTAGTAGTAGTAGTAGTAGTAGTAGGAGTAGTAGTAAGAGTGATGGTGCTAGTAGTAGTAGTAGTAGGAGTAGTATGAGTGATGGTGCTAGTAGTAGTAGTAGTAGTAGTAGTAGTAGTAGTAGTAGTAGTAGTAGGAGGAGTAGTAGTACGAGTGATGGTGCTAGTAGTAGTAGTAGCAATAGTATTAGGAGTAGTAGTAGCAGTAGTATTAGGAGTAGTAGTAGTAGTAGGAGTAGTAGCAGTAGTATGAGTGATAGTGCTAGTAGCAGTAGTAGTAGTAGTAGTAGTAGTAGTAGGAGGAGTAGGAGTAGTAGTACGAGTGATGGTGCTTGTAGGAGTAGGAGTAGTAGTAGGAATAGTACTAGGAGTAGTACGAGTGATGGTGCTAGTAGTAGTAGCAGTAGTATTAGGAGTAGTAGTACGAGTGATGGTGCTAGCAGTAGTAGTAGCAGCAGTAGTATGAGTGATGGTGCTAGTAGTAATATAGTATGTTAATCAGGTTGATCTTTAAATAATGTCATTTTTGCATCAGATGAAGTTACAGGTCAGATCCATGGAGAGGTGAGCTCACTCACTGGAAGAATGCAAGGTTTTCAAATGAGTGAAGCAACAAAAACTCCATCTCCATGGAGATAAACGGGTGTCAGTGTTAGTGCAGTGGAGTTCTGTTTCATTCATGTATCCTGGAGGAACACTGTGTGACCTGTACACATCCTGACGTCTTTCCTGTTCCTCCTTGATGCTGCAGTGCCCCCTCTATGACTAAAATGCGTGCTCTGGAGGTTCTGAGGAAGCACGTGTCTGACTACGGCCTGGACCCCCGACCTGCCAACGAGGCGCAGGTCACCAACATGGAGATCCTTCAGGGCTACAGGGTGAGAGCTAGGAATCGACATATCCTCACATGTTCTAATGTTTGGCATGTTCTCCTGTTTGGTGTGTTCTTCTCGCATGTTCTGATGTTTGGTGTGTTCTTCTCGCATGTTCTAATGTTTGGCATGTTCTCCTGTTTGGCGTGTTCTTCTCGCATGTTCTCCTGTTTGGCGTGTTCTTCTCGCATGTTCTGATGTTTGGTGTGTTCTTCTCATATGTTCTCATGTTTGGCGTGTTCTTCTCACATGTTCTGATGTCTGGCTCATTCTTCTCACATGTTCTGATGTTTGGCATGTTCTTCTCACATGTTCTGTTGTTTAGTGCATTCTTCTCACACAAGTTTTGATTTCTGGCATGTTCTTCTCACATGTTCTGATGTCTGGCGTGTTCTCACATGTTCTGATGTTCAGTATCGCCTGGAGTCGTTCACGGAGAAACGTGTCACTCGCTGGAACACTGAGCCATACAAGGGTGAGACACAGCTTTGAATAAACTTTGTGACGTGACTGAGAGTCTAGAAATGTTTAATGAATGGCTGTGATTCATTCAGGAGAGGAGCTGGATGACAGTGGGGTCCCTCCTCCCCCCTGGAGTGTTCCAGCGGAAGAACCACCTCAGTTCACCACGTCCTTCAAAGACATACCCCTCCCATATACCTCACTCATCAAGGTACTCGAGTTTACTCTACTGTACTCTAGTGTCTAACTGCATTTAAACATCTCACCCTCCTCAAGGTCATTCAACATAATCTGCAAGTTCGAGAAGTGCATCTAAAGCAGACATTGTCCTTGTGTGTGCTCTGTAGTTAGTCTATGACACTTATGGATCGTTATAATTTTAAATCACAATATTCATCTAATATGACTTAAAAGATGCAAGTGTCCAATGAGAGCTGACATCGCCTTAAACATCATGACAACAAAGCTTTGTATCAAAATGACTATACAGCTCTGCCAAATCCCATGTGTATCATTAGCAAAATGAAATTGGAGAATGGAGTGTGTACGTCACAGTGGATGTGTACCAGTGGAGGTGAAAACGGGGTTTGAACAGCAATATGGCAGTAAAGCAGTAAAGGGCAAAACAAAACAGTCTAGGCAAAGCAGCAGAGGTGTGTGCCCTGTGCCGCTGCTCACCACTGATGACACCTAAAAACATGAATAGGGAGTTACTGTAAAGCCTAGTGCACTGGAAGCACTACTAAGCCCAACTAACACATACACAGAAACACATAGCGCTGGTGGAATAAGGGGAGCGCACAATCCCAGGGTTGATGGTTGGGGATCTGGTTTACACAGTTCACTTTCAGGAGTTTGTAATGTCCGGTGCAGAATGACTTGCGTCGTCCTTGGCACAATGCAAACTATACAACCAGATTCATTGTTAGGGAAACATGCTTGGAGTAGAAATTATATTTAGAATGTGTTTTAACTTGTCCTGTTGTTGAAGGCTCACCACTGTGCAAAGGTCCTGGTACGGCAAGTGCAGCCCAACAGTGTGGCTACAAAGGACAGACGCGTAAAATGAGTCCTCCAGGACAAAACATGCCTGAAAATATCCTGGCCAGGCCTTGACTTACACAAAATCATGAATGAACTGAACTATTATTTGTCTGATTTATTTTAAAAAACAAAAATGAATCTGTCTGAATTCAAACGCAAACATAAAAAAGAGGTGGTCCCATCTAAACTTCTTTAGTCACATGCTTTGTGTTTGATATAACCTTTTTGTTAGTTTCTCTCTTTTAGTAGACTGTGTGTTTATGTGATTTTGTTCTTTTGTGTCAGGACTGTGGCCGGTGTTTGGGCAGGGGCCGGATCGCCTGCACTAGCTGTGAAAATGGGAGAGTGAGTCTCACACAACCAGTACAAATATGATATTATAAAATGTACTGTTCACATGAACAGACTGCTGCACCACTCTGGTCATATATTGTGTGATAGGAACAACTAGCATGCTAACAGCATACCAGTGTGTGTGTGTGTGTATATATATATATATATATATATATATATATATATATATATATATATATATATATATATATATATATATATACATACATACAGCATAATATTAAATAAAGCCTAATATAAATGCCCAAGTGTTGTGAAGTGTGACTGTTAATGTGTGTTCAGGATAAGTGTGCTCACTGCTGTGGCCGTGGCTACAACTACAACTACGTCTCCACCTACACCCTGACCAATCACTGCTATATGTGCAGCGGAATGGGGCATGTCCGGTATGTCTGCACCACTTCTTCTTTCTCTTTCATTCCTCTCTACATGTCATGACATAGCTGACCTGCTAACAGCCAAGTTCCAAATTTGTGGCCATAGCAGTTTGTCAAAGCCTGATCTTGTCATATCTCAGAAGTTCAGCAGGTCTGGGTCTGGTTAGTACTTGGATGGGAGACACTGGGAAAATCAGGTGCCACAGGGGGGCGCCAGTCACAAAAACTGTCATTGTGTCCTTAGGTAAGACACTTCACCCACATTGTCTTGTAAGAAAGTGTACAGCACAGATTGGCAGCCTTGCCTTTGTCAATCTGCCCAAGGGCAGCTGTGGTTACAATAGTAGCTCACCACTTCTGAGTGTGGAGGAAATGAATAATGAACTGTAAAGTGCTTTGAGTGTCTCGAAAGGCGCTATATAAATGCAATCATTAAATAATATAGAAAAAAATAAATAAATAGGAATTCACCCTGTCTCTGGTCCTGCTGTTGTCAGGTTTGTCATTTTGGTCTTAAAATGTTTGAACACACTCTACATGATCCTATATGCTTTTATTTCACCATTTTGTCCTTGTATATGAAAATCAGAACATTAAAAATAGACCAATCAGCTGGCTTCTTACTCTGTGGTCACAAGCTTTAGCAACAGGTTTGATTGACAGCATTGCTAATGGGAGTTACCTTCAATAGCATCGTTCCTGATTGGCTCTTTGGTTGCAATGATACTCACGGTCAGAATTTCAAATATATCTATATAACTGCAGCCTGGATGAGCTTGAAGCCAAACACTGTGGGTGACGTCACACTCTCTCTCAGTCCACTTCTTTATACAGTCTATGTCCACTGTTGGGCAAGTGACTTCAAATCTCTAATGCATTATTTATGACTTGTTTCTGTCATTTCAAAGTCATTAGTTACAATATCACTGTGTTTAGAATGTAAAACATTACACGACTATTACAGCACTTTAAGAGACTCTCACCAAAATAACTGTGCCAAGATGCCCAACTTTTGCACCGGACTGAACGAGGACTAAACCAGATCTAAAGCAGGACCAAAGCTGGACTGAACCGGGACTGAACCAGGACTTAACTAGGACTGAACCAGAACTAAAGCAGGTCTAAAGCAGGTCCGAACCAGGTCTGAACCAGGACTGAAGCAGGACTAAAGCAGGTCTAAAGCAGGTCTGAACCATGTCTGAACTAGATCTGAACCAGGACTGAACTAGGACTAAACCAGGACTAAACCAGGACTTGAATCAGGACTGAACCAGGACTAAACCAGGACTAAACCAGGACTTGAACCAGGTCTAAACCAGGTCTAAAGCGGGACTAAAGCGGGACTAAAGTGGGACTAAAGTGGGACTGAACCAGGACTGAACCAGGATTAAACCAGGACTAAACCAGGATTAAAGCAGGTCTAAAGCAGGTCTAAAGCAGGTCTAAAGCAGGTCAAAAGCAGGACTAAACCAGGACTAAACCAGGACTGAACCAGGACTGAACCAGGTCTAAATCAGGACTGAAACAGTACTGAACCAGGTCTAAACCAGGTCTAAACCAGGACTGAACCAGGATGGAACCAGGTCTAAACCAGGACTGAACCAGGACTGAACCAGGACTAAATCAGGTCTAATCCAGGACTAAACCAAGACTAATCTTGGACTAGGATTTGGAATCTAGGACCGCCCCTGTGAGAACCCCGAGCCTGTCCCGACATTCGGAACCACAACTATGGTGTTTCACCGCTCCTGACATCGCTGTGATTTTATCTAATTTGTATAAAGAAAACCAAAAACCCAACCACTTCAATCCAGATTAAAAAAGCATTGTGACGTGCATTACTCACATTTGTACCAAGCAAAATATGACAATTTTTTCTCTGTAATGCCTTAAATTACTGCGGTACAGCAAAAAGCAACACATTACTGTAATTCGTTAGTTTTATAACACGTTACTCCAAACACTGTCTATTCTTCCCGCTCTCCCTCTCTCTTCTCCTCCTCATATCTAAGTGTTTCTTCTTGTTCCAGTTGTATGTTTTGCCGTGGGATGGGTGAGAGTCGATGCCTGGTGTGTATGGAGCACAAGAAGACCACTTTGTCCATCTGCCTCCGAGTCAAATGGTACAAACACATGTTCTGATTTGAAACCATCCAAGTCTTTTTACTCACGCGGTTTTCTTGAGTATAGGCGAGTTTCATTGTTGACAAAAGCGCGCGTTGCATGCTGGGAATTATTTTGGTCGGCGGCAAGAAACACTAATTCAACATGACGGACGGAGCGAGAAAGCACGTAAAGGGTATTGATCCCGGTTATTTAGCCACTAACGGCAGAGGACCCAAGACCATTTGACCAGAAATTGTTCATAAACATCGACGGACGCCAAATCACCCTTTTCAACCCCGACAAAAGGTGGACCAAACCAAATTTCTGGTCAGAATCGCCAACTACCTGGCTAAATATTCACTTCAGTGACATCCACAATGACTTGGTGGAAACTCCTGGGCCATTCACAGCAGAAAAGATTAAAGTCTACAAGAGTCTCGATGTGTTGTTGAACTTGTTGGAGTCCACGGTTTGCTAGGATCTTCTATGTTTGCTCTGCGAATGTTTGAAAGACGTTTAATTCACCGATAGCGGTTCTTTTCACTCAGAATACGAAAAAGACATTTTCCTTCTTCCGTGCTTCTATTTGTGCATCTGATAAAGCAGCAGGAATTTACCATTATCGGGGATAAATACGCGAGGTTACGCACTGTGTTTGACCGCTACTGTGTTTCTTGCCTCCAACCAAAATATTTCCCAGCATGCAACGCGGGCTTTTAATAACAATGACGTCAGCTGAAACTCGTCTATTTGGATGATCTCCTGTTTGTGTCAGGGTCAACCACCAGAATCAGATTTTGTGTGGATCTAAAGAGGCTCATCTCCACCAGCTGTCGGGGCGCACCCTGCTCACTCACACAGCCAAACGGGTAAAATACCAAACAGTTAAAGAGCGGGAATATGTGAGATTGACTTTTTGGAACTTTCTACCGCGTTATAATATTGTTCCTCATCAAAAACCCGCCTGAAGAGCTTTTAGAGTCATTCGCATTTGGGTAAAGTCCTTGTGTTTGCAGGTGCGTGCACTCACAGATTTCCCAGAGTCCGGTGTGATGGACGCCGCTCAGAGGTTCACCCAGAAACACGCTCAGGAATACACAGACAACGCCCGGATCCTACAGCAGGTCTGACCACGGTGAAAATGTCGAATAGAGGCGTCTAGAGTGTTTTTTGGCTCAGCGGTCTGAACACACCATTAGATTTACACTTTTTGATCAGAAAGCTTCAAATTTACCTGTGCACTGAAGATCCATTTCAGTAAATTAGAGAAATGGCAAACATTGTGTAGACCTTGTGTGTGTGTTTGCAGAAGTGGAAAGTGTCTGATACTCAAAGGATGTGCTGTGTGTCTGTGTGTGTGTGTTTTCTCTTCACATGTGTATCTCCGGTGTGTGTGTGTCTTCTCTTCACATGTGTATCCCCGGTGTGTGTGTGTCTTCTCTTCACATGTGTATCTCTGGTGTGTGTGTGTCTTCTCTTCACAAGTGTATCTCGTGTGTGTGTGTCTTCTCTTCACATGTGTATCTCCGGTGTGTGTCTGTGTGTGTGTGTCTTCTCTTCACATGTGTATCTCTGGTGTGTGTCTGTGTGTGTCTTCTCTTCACATGTGTATCTCTGGTATGTGTGTGTGTGTCTTCTCTTCACATGTGTATCTCAGGTGTGTGTGTGTGTGTCTTCCCTTCACTTGTGTATCTCCGGTGTGTGTGTGTCCTCTCTTCACATGTGTATCTCTGGTGTGTGTGTGTCTGTGTGTGTGTATCTTCTCTTCACATGTGTATCTCTGATGTGTGTGTGTGTCTGTGTGTGTGTCTTCTCTTCACATGTGTATCTCTGGTGTGTCTGTGTGTGTGTCTTCTCTTCACATGTGTATCTCTGGGTGTGTGTGTGTGTCTTCTGCTTCACATGTGTATCTCTGGGTGTGTGTGTGTGTCTTCTGCTCACATGTGTATCTCTGGTGTGTGTGTGTGTGTCTTCTCTTCACATGTGTATCTCTGGGTGTGTGTGTGTGTGTCTTCTCTTCACAAGTGTATCTCAGGTGTGTGTGTGTCTTCTCTTCACACGTGTATCTCCGGTGTGTGTCTGTGTGTGTGTGTCTTCTCTTCACATGTGTATCTCTGGTGTGTGTCTGTGTGTGTCTTCTCTTCACATGTATATCTCTGATGTGTGTGTGTGTGTGTCTGTGTGTGTGTCTTCCCTTCACATGTGTATCTCTGGTGTGTGTGTGTCTGTGTCTTCTGTTCACATGTGTATCTCTGGTGTGTGTGTGTGTGTGTGTGTCTGTGTGTGTGTCTTCTGTTCACATGTGTGTCTCTGGTGTGTCTGTGTGTGTGTCTTCTCTTCACATGTGTATCTCTGGGTGTGTGTGTGTGTCTTCTGCTCACATGTGTATCTCTGGTGTGTGTGTGTCTCGTGCAGCGTCAGAGAGTGGAGCTGGTGTGGATGTGCAGAGTATCGTACACCTGGAGAGATCAGACCTACCAGTTTTACGTCCCCGGGGAGGAGGAGGGCGCCATTGTGGACAACTACCCAGAAGTCACCTGTGACTGCTGCAGCGTCATGTGATCAGTCGTTATCAGAGAGGAAGGGGGCGCTGTAGAGCATGCACAGACTGTACCTACCACTTTCCAAATAGACTCTCACTTAGTCCAATTCTTAGAGGTGCACTGTGTGACTTTTTGTAAGGAGCTTCATCACCTGCTTGTTTCTATGGAGATGTCACTGCTCTGCCTGGAATGTTCCACAGTGTGACATTAAACAGCTCTACTTTACATTTATTTGGTTACAAGTAGTTTTATAAAATACCCAGAAAAACAGACGTTGTGCCTGTGAGTGGTGTCGCCTCTCCAGAGATCTGACCTGTAACTTGGTCTGGTTTGGTCTCCATGAAGATAGAAAGGCTTAATACCATAAATCTCTTTTTAATTTGTATTTTATTTTTAATTTTATGATGATTACTTATGTTCTGATTGTTTTTATTGTGATTTTAATGTATTTCTTATTCTGTAAAGTGCTTTGAATTACTGTATTTTGTGCACTATAGGGGGCTCTGGATTATAATATATATATATATATATATAATATATCATTGAATGGTCTATTTTCAAACTTTTTTCACATATACACCGCACTGGACTATAAGGCGCATTAAACGAAACAACAGTTAGAAAAGTCAGTCAAACTTTATTTAACGTGTTCACAGTAACTCTCAACTTTGTTCAATTGTAATGTGTAAAAAAAATACTGTCTGAGACGCTAAATTGTTAATTTTCACAATAATTCATAATAGTTGAAACAGTTGGGTGATTCCGGCGTCCACACGTCCACATCCCTCTGTCATTATCCGAGTCAGTGTGGTTACTGTTCCCTGGAGTTCAGTGATGATTCGGGTCTTGGTGAAAGCTCAGACCACAGTTGATACTGATCCTTAACCCGGGCGTCCATGATCCGTTGGCAGATCGTGGCTTAAGTGGCTCGGCGCTGTCTCTCTGTCTTGGTGAATGTGTGTTCTCCTTCTCTCATCCACTGCTCCCACGCAGCTCACACTTTCACTTTAGAACAGCCTTGAGTTTAAAGTGGGCGTTGTGAGCGTGTCTCTTGACATATGGGTCCGGTCAAGTGGTAACGGAGGGAAACGGGCAGATTTTTTACATTCAAATAGCTCTTGTTCAGAAACTAGAGGGACTATTGAAATAAGTAAAGTATCAGAATGTAGGAAAGAGTTACACTCCAACAGGGTAAAGTCAGACCTGCGATATTCTTTCAAGTTGTTGACAAAAAAAATAAAAAAACTCATGTCGGTAATAGAGGGAATGAAATATGCAGCACTTTTTGGGCAGTAAATACAAACACTGATAACTCTTGGTTCTCACTTACATATCCTTATCAAACTGGTTTGAATATTTGCTTCATATAATTTTCTACCATATGGTACATGATTAGGTTGAAAAACCTCTTACTTTTTGAGTCATTAAATTTTTTATTAAGAAAGGTCATGGTAACGGAGGGAAAAGTAATGGAGGGAAAATTGTGCAAACAAGTAGAAGGTGCATGATTTTACATCATTTGTCGCTTTTTTCTTCCAAATACTTTAATATTACTTCAAAATGAAAGGAAACTGTTTCTATAAAATATGTCAGTCCTTCCAAGCAAATTTTTATCATTTTAAATACATTTTTTTTTGAAAAATCATGTACATTCATCAACAGTTCAAAGATGGAATAACACAAGATATGATGAAATACATGTTTATTTACATGATTTGCAGGTCTTTGAAATTTGGGAAATCATTTTTGTTCCATGTTGCATACATGGTCTGTTTAAAACGTATGTAACTTTAGAACAAAAATGGTACAGAAAAAAGGTAAACCGTTTCATAAACTAGAGTACATATGCTATCTGTTGAATACATTTTTATATCAGATGCATTAACTTGAATTTTTGGCCTTGCTGTTTACTTCTGCTTGACCGGGCCAAGGTGCATTTTGATATTAAAAGGAATCACAGTATGTATTACTCCTGATGCTCCTGACTATGGGAGCCGTAATGCTGCAAGTGGAGCAGCTTTGTAGGTTACTACTTTAATTCATATATAAGGTGCTCTGGATTATAAGGCACGCAGTAGATTTTGATGAGATTAAAGGTTTTTAAGTGCTCCCTGTAGTGCGGAAAATACGGTACTTTGTGTACGAATTGTGCTGTACAAATAAACTTGCCTTGCTTACTGTGAAACATTCCAGACGGGCACAATTGGACCATTACCCAGAATCCACCTGTGTCTGCTGTAGCCCCATGAACTCTTCATACACACTGCTCCTGATTTTTAATGTCCTTCTGTTTTTATAAATGTGATATTTAATACATTTGCTGTTTTGAAAGTTTTAAAGTGTGTTACTGGCACCTTTTCTACTACTGAAGGTTGACAATTAAACTTGATTTGCATTTAATCTCACTGGAAAAAAAAAAAAAATTAGGTAAGTTAAAATGACTTAAATTAAGATAATTTAACTTTATTTGAGTAGATTCAACTTAAGGCAAATGATCTGCAATGGAATAAGTTTTTCTTAATTCAAACAATACTCAATTATGTTATTTTTAGTGCAAAAAGTTGTTTTAAGTGTAGCAAGATAAATTTTCATATTTTAAGAACTGTATTTTTCAGACTATAAGTCGCACCAACTAAAAAATGCATAATGAAGAAAAAAAAACAAAAACGAGTCGCACTTTTTGGGGGAAATTTATTTTATAAAACCAGAGCCTAGGGACTGACATTTCCTGTTTTCAGTCAAGTTCTAGTAATAAGAATAGAAGAGAGAACAACAGACTATTAACGTCACATATGAACAGTTCTTCAGATAAACTATAACATAAACAACAGAACAGAAGAAGTTTACCAAACTCTCCATCTCACTCCAAATCACTAAAATGTTAAATTCTTCATTCTCGGTGTCACTTCTGAATAACTCGGCCTCGAACTCCGGAGGTAAACAGAGCGTCACTTCCTCTTCTGTGTCGCTGTCATCAGACTCAGCATCAGTTCCAGTTAGAATTATTCCGGCCTTTCTGAATCCCGACATGATGGTTTCAGTCGTCTTTATAAGTTTGTTTAAATGTTAAATTGTTCAGTGGTCAGTGTTGGGGAGTAACAGATTACATGTACTGGAGTTACATAATCAGAGTACAAATTATGAGTAACTGTATTCAGTTACAGTTACTGTTTCAGTGAGTGGTAATTGGATTACAGTTACTTTGTTGAAATAAATGGATTACACAGAGGTATTTTCCTGTTTTCACATTTTGGGCTATATCCCCCTTTTTTTAAATTTTATTTTATTTTCGGTAATTCTACTCATTGCCGGACTCTAAACCAGGTCCACACCAAGTCTAAACCAGGTCTAATCCAGATCTAAAACCAGGTCTAAACTAGATCTAAAACCAGATCTGAAACCAGATCTAAAACCAGGTCTAAACAAACCAAGTCTAAACAAACCAGGTCTAAACCAGGTCCAAACCAGGTCTAAACCAGGTCTAACCCAGATCTAAAACCAGGTCCAAACCAGGTCTAAACCAGATCTAAAACCAGGTCCAAACCAAGTCTAAACCAGATCTAAAACCAGGTCTAAACCAGGTCTAAACAAACCAGGTCTAAACCAGATATAAAACCAGGTCTAAACCAGGTTTAAACCAGGTCTAAACCAGGTCTAAACCAGGTCTAAAACAGGATTTAACAGGACTAAATCATGCCGTGTGGACCGTGTCTCCTCGTCTTCTATCAATAATATTTTTAATATGGTTTAAGTAAAGTTTGGACTTCATTTTCTTTTAACAGACAAAACATCTCATATGAAGATTTCCTCATCTTTGCTCCTCTACAGCAAATCAAGTAATCCAAAGTATTCAGATTATGTTACTCATTTTAAGTAATTTAATGGATTATGTTACAAACTACATTTTGGGGTATGTAATCTGTAATCTGTAGGGGAATACATTTTAAAAGTAAACTTCCCAACACTGACCACTGACAGTGTTGGGAAGGTTACTTTTAAAATGTATTAAAACTACATGAATGTAGAAACCACATCCTGAAAATTCTTGTTTGTTTTCTTCAAATTGTCTGTTGAGCCCAAGTCTCCAAGAATAAGCAACTGTTTACTGTAGAGACGCAAAGACCAGGAAATCTTAACATAAATTTTGTCTGCTAAAAGAAAAGAAAATAGAGAAATTATTTTTATATGAGATCACCTTAAATTATGTCCAACCTCCTGTTAGGTATCATTGTTTAGACCTGGTTTTAGTCCTGGTTTAGTCCTGATTTTAGACCTGGTTTAGTTCTGGTTTAGTCTTGGTTTAGTCCTGGTTTAGTCCTGAACTGGGTTAGTCCTGGTTTTAGTGCTGGTGTTAGTTCTGGTTTAGAGGCGGACAGGAGGAAGCGCGGTCTACACAGCGTACGCGAGAAAACACGGTCCACACGCGGCGCGCGGGAGAATGACGGTGGTCCGCGCATTCTCAGGTCGATGACGATGATGAAGGTGTGTATTTGTGTGTGTGTGTTTGTGTGTGTTTGTGTGCGTGTCCCCTCGTGTCGCAGGTCACTATAGGACAGTAGTAGCAGATATTATGAGTCTATGCAGTTTGTTTTCACCAGTGCCAGTAGCTCCGGTTTAACATTTAAGTTGTAGGCGATTTTATATTTGTTTTTTTTTTTTTATAGCTCACTTCGGGAGAAGAATTTCCAAGACACGAATGTGTTTTTACCTGTGCACTGCTGACTCTGTTCTACTGGCTCTTCCACCTCGTCCATTGTGTGACTGACGCCGCCAACTTTAACATGACGTTTCCATCGCTCTTACTGCCGCGTTCTGTTTGGGTTTCCGGCAATGAGTGGAATTACCGAAATAAAAAAATAAATAAATGGGATGTAGCACAAAATGTGAAAACAGGAAAATACCGCCTTGTAATCCACTTATTTCAGCAAAGTAACTGTAATCCAATTACCACTCATTAAAACAGTAACTGTAACTGAATACAGTTACTCATAATTTGTACTCTGATTACGTAACGGCGGTACATGTAATCCGTTACTACCCAACACTGTCAGTGGTGAAGAAGTAATGGTGCGATCGACTGACATGATACAGACAGGACAGAGGCTCTTTCTGCAGGAGACATGTGAAGTAGAGTGAAGTGACAGTGGTACAGGAGGAACAGAAGCAGCAGATACTGACACACAAGACTAGAGCGTCCTCTTGAGGCTGTCAGTGTGAACATTTTAACAGGAAACAACTAAACCATGAAAAAAAGAGACTTATGATCCAAAAAATATGGTACAAAAAGTCTTACTGACAGATCATTTTACTTGTCAAGTGAAATTAATTCAAATCATGATGAAACTTTCTTAATTCAAGTCATCTGAACTTGACTAGATTTTGTTTTTTGCAGTGCTCCTTTGGACCCAGACTCTTGCATGGCTTTATTGATTTCTCTTTGGTATCTGCGTTGACTGGGAGCTGATGAGGCAAAAACAAAGAATAATATTTTCCTAACATATATTTTTATATTTAAATGTCCACATATGATATACATCATTTATGTTTTAATCATTTTGATGGAACAAAATAAAGTCACAATGGAATAATGATTTACAAAAACTATTTATGAAGTGAACTCAAAATAGTTGGAAATATCAGGTCCTCAGAAGCGACAGAGCTCATAACATCATTATCAGATCCATGTTCTAATGTTTCCTCATCATAAACAGACCTGGACTTGTGTTTTGTTTCATTCACATGTTTAACACACAAACCTGCACATTTAGACTGAGCTCTTCTCTCAGTCAGAAAACACTGTTCCACTTTATGATGTCATGTGAAGTGCTCCACCACATCCAAAAAGATGTCCAACATCCACTAAATTCAGAGTTTCATCTGCTTCCCTCTGGTCAGAGGCTTTTAGTCCCAAGATCTAGAATTAATCTAAAAGGAGCTTTGTTCCGGCTGCTATCATACTTTTGAATAAATTGTAATCTATTTATCTAAAGATTGTGTGTTTTTAATACGGTATATGGGCCCGGTCAAGCAGAAGTAAACAGCAAGGCCAAAAATTCAAGTTAATGCATCTGATATAAAAATGTATTGAACAGATACATATGTACTCTAGTTTATCAAACTGTTGACTTTTTTTCTGTACCATTTTTGGTTCTAAAGTTCCATACGTTTTAAACAGACCATGTATGAAACATGCAACAAAAATTATTTAACAAATTTGAGAGACCTGAAAATCATGTAAATAAATGGATGTATTTCATCATATCTTGTGTTATTCCATCTTTGATGAAGGTACATGATTTGAAAAAAAAAAAAAAAAAGTATTTAAAATGATAAAAATTAGCTTGGAAGGACTGACATATTTTATAGAAATAGTTTCCTTTCATTTTGAAGTAATATTAAAGTATTCAGAAGAAAAAAGCGACAAATGATGTAAAATCATGCACCTTCTCCTTGTTTGCACAATTTTCCCTCCGTTACTTTTCCCTCCGTTACCATGACCTTTCTTAATAAAAAATCGAATGACTCAAAAAGTAAGAGGTTTTTCAACCTAATCTTGTACCATATGGTAGAAAACTATATGAAGCAAATATTCAAACCAGTTTGTTAAGGATATGTAAGTGAGAACCGCTAGTTATCGCTGTTTGTATTTATTGCCCAAAAAGTGCTGCATATTTCATTCCCGACATGAGTTTTAAAAATTTTTGTCAACAACTTGAAAGAATATCACAGGTTTAACTTTACCCTGTTGGAGTGTTAACTCTTTCCTACATTCTGATACTTTACTTATTTCAATAGTCCCTCTAGTTTCTGAATAAGAGCTATTTGAATGTCAAAAATGTGCCCCTGTTTCCCTCCGTTACCACTTGACCGAACCCATATTTATTACTATTTATTGTGATTTTCGTCAAGCGTGATGGATGAATTTAACTAAGTGTTTATGGAACAAACCATTCTGCACTGGAGTACTGTACCACTTTATTTTGTAATTGTGTTTTTATACATGTTTTTTGCACATTATGTGGATGGATGAATGAAATGTGAAATGTGGAACCTGCCTCTCAAATCTGCAAAGCAACCTAACCTAACCACACCTTCAAGAATCATTTGGATCATTTCAGCCCTGGAATTGCCAATTTCTACTGAACGAAAGGTAAAAGCAGCTGTTCGCTTCAAAACTACCACTTCATGACATCACAAGGTGGAGCAGAGCATTTAGAGAGCTTTGGAGATGTAGACAGACTAATAAAGGATTACTCAAACATGTATGAATGAAACGACACGGCTTAGAGCTCAGAGACACTTTCATTCATTTTCAACGTGCACAATTATTTCCAGTTTATTCGTTTGCGTAATGACCACATGATCCGCTGTGACGCAGACAGACTGAGGGCGTCACCTGGACGTGCGCTCGTGCCCTGTGCCTCGTAAATCTGACCATAACAGCCTCCTTGCGCAGACTTTACGACTTTTATTTTATTTGTTTGGGTTTCATTATGAGTTTAAGTCTGGAATATGTGTGTCCAAGAAAATCCGAGGAACCATTTCAAACATAGAACTGTGACGTTCTAATTTTGTCTGTTTCATTTTTGAAAACAAACTTAAACATACTTGAGTTCGTGCGTCTAAAATGAATAATAGTGTAAATAAACGACGTAAAGCGGAGTAGGTTTATCATTTGAACAGCGTCAGAAAACGTCACGTCGTGTGCTGAAAAATGAAAATTGAGATAATAAATGAGATTGCGCGTGGTGCCAAAGCGCCGCGGACGCAGACGACATGGCGCGAGAGCGTTAATTTTTCCCGCGCGCGCAGACAGTCCGCTCGTTAATTGGTTGATTAATGTTGGAGCGTCGTGCGTAAAAACAGAACAAATACGACACGACTTTAAAATGAGTCAAGCTGACATGATTTATTTACAACCAGTGTTGGGAAGGTTGACTTTTAAAATGTATTTCCCTACAGATTACAGACCCCAGAATGTAGTTTGTAACATAATCCATTAAATTACTTAAAGTGAGTAACGTAATCTTGAATACTTTGGATTACTTGGTTTGCTGTAGAGAAACAAAGACTCGGAAATCTTCACATAAGAAGTTTTATCTGCTAAAAGAAAATAAAAAGCCCAGACGTTACTTAATCGCATTAAAAATATGATTGATAGAAGACAAGGAGACACGTCCACACAGCATGATTTAGTCCTGTTAAATCCTGTTTTAGACCTGGTTTAG